TAATAGTATTAGTAGTAGTAGTAGTAATAATAATAATAATAATAATAGTCGTAGTAATAATAATAATAATAAAGAAAGAGAAGAAGAAGAAGATGATGAGAACTTGGAGATGGAAAATTAATGTAAGGATTAAATAATAATAATAACAAATGTCAAGGTTAGAGGTTTCACTAATGGTATGTCAAACAAGTATAGTATAAACTCTTATTATTCAATTGGAAACCACACACAAAGGAGGTTCCAATTAGATTATAGATTGTTAACATGATTACATTAGTCATCTTATTCAATTAATGCTAGTACTTGTAAATCTTGTCAAGCATTCATGATTATAACTTATGTTAACAACAAATCAAGTTCCGTTCATAGCTCAGGTGTCGGTTATACCATACAGTATGAACTATGAAAGTGCCAAGCATTTGTTGTACCCAGTGTTATACAACATAAATCAAGATTAGTCATTTAACAAGCAAAGTATTAAAGAGTGAACAAGATAACATATACAAAACATGTTAGTATCAAACATTAAAGTCCATATTAAGTTTACACTATACTTATTCTTACACCATTAGTGTACCCTTTTCACCTTGACATAATAAACTTAGCTAGACATAATGAAAGAAAGAAAAATAAATAAACAAAATAAGAACATAAATAAGATAAGAGTTAACAAAGCAAAGGAAAGGAATTGAAAATCATAAACTTGACATTAAGGAAAGCAAAGCATAAACATTACAAAAAATACAAAGAGAGAAAGGAAGAGCATGATCTTGATCTGGAAACCAAGATGCCTAAATGCATGGCAAATGCCTCCTTTTATAGGCCAAAATTGGGAAATATTGATTTGATGACTAATTGATGAGTGGGTGACCAACTCTTGACTTGGTGACAATCCTTATCTTCTCTTATCTGCCCAAAAAGTCATTGGTAACGTCAAAATTGGAGCCACTTGAAAACATGAAAGTTGTAGGAAATTGTCTCATCTTTCTTGTGTAAATAATTCAGCTCATTTCGACTTCTAGAACTCCAGATATGGCCAAAATACTGAACAGTGCTCGGGCTGGAGGACAGATTCGAGCTTCTTTGTTGTTGCTACAATTTGGACTTGAAAATGGCCTTTTTAGATCTTGGGCTCCATATGAAAGTTGTAGGCCTATGTCTTACCTTTCCATCGATATAAAGTAGACCTAAATCTGAGATCTATAGCTCCAGATATGACCCAATTACAGAACAGTGTTCTAGTTTGGATTGCACCGACATCTCTTTTCTAATTTTGGTCATCTTTTTGCCCTTGCAATTTAAGTTTTTAAAGTCATCAATCAATCCTTTCATTTATGTAATAGGCTTGAATTTAAAATGAACATTTACCATAAATTAAAGGTATCTTATATTATTAGATATATTATTATAAAACATGCTTTAGTTAAGGAGTTATTGATACTTCAAGTGCAAAATGATGATATAAAACCATGATAAAAATACACTTTTAAGTACTAATCAATTGCATAGTGAGTGAGAGAGTATAGAGTTGGGTTTCCTCCTCCATTGTTATGTATACTCAATAAGATAGCTTGCCATACTTCAATAAAATGTTCATGCTTGTTTGTAGCACAATACTCTTAACCGTGAAATTTAACTTTATGAAGGTAGATGATCCACTATGAGAAAACTAATGTAATACTCATATAGTAATGAATGTATATAACAGGTGTTTGTATAGTCAATGGTAGAGTATTAACTAGGACAAGTATGGAGACAAGTGTCAAATTGATTTTTAAGGATATTGCTCCCATAATAAAGTAAAATGAGCTAGATAACATGTGCTCTTAATGAAGGATGAATCATGAAGAAGTAAGATGCGACTGCCAGGTAAAAACAAAAGGTACACATAGACTTCTAGACAAGCAAACTATTGTAAAAGTGGTAAGTTTTTAATAGCATTTTAATACTCAAAGTATGAAGACAAGCATGAATTAACTTTAATAGGATTGATAAATGTAGATAGCTTGTAGAATTCTTAGATGAAGAGCGAGTAACTCATGGAGTAGTAAGATGTGTTTTTTAGTGTAGAGCAAAAGATAGAAAGAAACTCTTAGATAAGCAGGCTCATGAAAAAATAATGTGTTTTTGATCGCATTGTAATACATGAATAGTATTGTTGTACTCGAGTTTGGAGACCAAACTCATAGATGATAAGGAGATTCCACCAAATTACCAATAAAATACAGCTTAGATGAAGTGCAAGGAGGTGAAATGAGCATGGGCTAAACAAACCAATTAAATCAAGTGGGAGTTAGTTGTATGACAGTTACTCAAATCAAGTGGGAGTTAGTCATGTAGATAAGAACTGAAGTTGTGTATAATTTTTTGTAGGTCTTTAAAGTTAGAAGACATGTCTTGTGACTGTTGTTTATGAGTGGGAGATTGTTGGGCGTGGAGTGGAGATAAAAGGTGCACTTCTAACCAACAATCAGGCTGGATTTCTTCTATTTGGTAGAAATGTTGGCTGAAAATGGAGAAGTTTGCTCCCCATTTTCAGCTATAAATAGAGGCAAGCACTAGCAGAAATATAGAGCTAATTAAGAGGAGAAAAGAGATGAAGTGAGCTGCTAGAGGGCAGCAGTAGTGGCTGCAGCAGCATAGTGAGTAAGAGAGCATAGTTGAGTTGACTGAAACACGTTAAACCTTGTGTTCAGCTGCCAGGAAAAGATCAACCGATCCCAACACATCTGCACTTTGAATGTTCTTTCAAAATTATCTGATGTCTGTAAAGATGCAGAAATGACTGGTGAAACTTTTTTCATTGATGTAATTAGTTTACCTAACCATTACTTGTTATGTTACCATTTGCAACAGCTGATCCAGAATTGTGTTGTTGAAACGAGTCGACAAGGATGGGTTTGTTTAGTAAGTGCTCTGCTTTTTTCATGGAAATTATGAGATTAGTAACGGTTCCAAAACTTCTCATGGTTTTTAATATTGCTGTAAATCTTATACTTTTAAGGTACAACAATTATGAAAGTCGAAAGGCGCATGAATAATCTGAAAATCCTCATGCATCACTCCTTTTCCACTGGGATGGTCTTAATCCGCAGGTATTTCATGCCTTTTGGATTGACTCGAACTTGAATCCTTCTTGCCCTCTCTCTCTCTCTCTCTCTCTTGGAGGACGGGGGCCTTGAGGATATATCAAACAAAAAGCTGGTAGGAGGAATTGTATTTATATCATATTCATTGTTGTATGCTGTATGTGAGCTTAGATTATATATCGATCCAGCAGACACTGATGGGCATTTGATATTCACCTGTGTGGTCCTTCAGGCATTTGAGAATGGACAAAAAGTGTGAATTCTTATGGATCAATGAAACCAAAAAAACCCGTTGTTTTTTTGGTTTCATGGGCTTTCTTGTGATCATTGTTGTTGAGTTGTGGTTAACTTAGTTGCCTACTGGTAGATCTGCCCTGTACACTCTCTGCACCTTTTACAGTCACATCTGTCTATGGAAATTAAGACCGTGAAGATTCGCTTTCATCAGTTGGTCCATTTGTCCATGGAGCAGTTTATCTTTTCTAGTTAAAGTTCACTCAGATGATTAAAATAATGTGTAAACTTAACCTCAAAAGTCCAGTGTTGAATCCACTGCTACACTGGCAGTAAATGTTTAGCAGCTGCAGGATGGTATCACATTCTGCTTATACTCAATTTAATTTAGTTTTCTTCACACATACTGATCCCGTATCCAAAGCTGTAGCTCTGTCATCATTGTATATGGGACATAATTGATTAACCCAGAGATCAATGCTACATTGCTGCTCATAAGAAATAGTAGGAGAAGGTTTTTTCCATTGTCAAGAGAACGATGTTTGCATTGCATCTGAGAAATAGTAGAAGGTTTTTTCCATTGTCAAGAGAATGATGCTTGCACTGCATCGATAATTCTTGTTGCCTAACTATGATCATCATATAATGTTACCTTTATCCATATATTGCATGATACTAGGCTATCCTTCTGCTTTAGGCGTGGTTCTATAGCCCATTAATTGTTATACAATCATGAAGTTGATCCAGCAGTTGGTCTATCGCCTAAAAGAATAGTAACTGTGATTTTTATTTTTAGGTTCGAGTGGAAGGATCTGTGCAGAAAGTTCCGGACGAGGAATCTGAACAGTGCATGTATATCTGTCCTCAAGGAAGTGAAATTGGAGCAATAGTTAGCAATCAGGTTCCTCTTATTCTTATTAAATTGTACTGACTACATCAAAAGATTGGTGCAAGCTTTGGTTATCATCTTCTTTCTCCTTTCAGAGTGCTATAATTCCTGGAACGCATGTTCTACACCAAACATACAAAGAATAAGTGGAAAAATGTTCTGATGGGTGAGTTACCCTTCTCTTCATTTTCCTCTGATCTTGGCTTCGAATTTTAACTTTTACAATTCTGAAATATAACTCAGTTTATTTTGGCAAACAAGACAGTCCTGAAACCAATATTTTTGTTACTATTTTCTTCAGAAAATGGTTTCTTTGTATACCAAGAGAAGTAGCTTGCATTTTCTACTTTAAGTGGTATGATTGTTTACGAGGAAGTATCAATAAAATCCGGTGTTTTTTTCTCTGTTGTCAAAGTGCAGAAATTTGATTCCAAAACCTAAACACTGGGGAGGGTATAGGTTTAAACCACAACTTTCGAGTTTTGGCATGGACAACGTTCTCATTTGCATGACAGGTTCGTTTCATGTCATTTCTTAAGCTGCATTTTTCTATCTGCATGCAAACAATGAATGAAGCAGGTTTATTAACAATTCCCCATATCATATTGTGTCTCTTATGTTCATTGAATGCTTGACTGAATCACAATGTTATAATATATGTTAGGAACGTGGCTTTTTCAGGAATAAAAATATAATTCACGCAGCAAAGTTCTGTGTTCTGCATACTACGATAAATATGATTGAGAAACTGGATTCCATGAGTATGAAAGAATTTATAATTATAGAACACACGAGGAATTGGGATTTACACCAAAAGAGTTTTTCATATCAAATGATATTATGATAGTTGGCTTATAGCTAATGTATGCACAACCATTTACAGGTTGCAATATACTCAAGAAATCAACGGCAAGCTAGTTTGGAAGATTGGGTGGTTGGCTCCGCTCCCTGACTAGTAATTTCAGCTTCCGTTGTGACGCTTGGCATTCATGATTCCATGGTGTCTTGTTATCTGTTGCTTGTGTTTTGTTATTTGGGTACAAATAACAGATGTAGTATAGTGATATTTTCTTTCTTTGCTGTTTAATTGACTGTGTTGCCAGCATTCAAAATTGTTGTTAGTACCAAGGAGCATAAATTGTAACTCATTGAGGAACATTAAACGATGATTTTAGATCTCGGATCTCAGATCCATCGGTGAAATAATTGAAGAGAGAGGCATGGGTGGAAGCTGGGTTTAAGATTTTAGAGTTTAATTGGAAGGCAAGATAGGAATGGGAACCACCTAGGAGAAGACATGATACACTGCAGAAGTTTCGGGCAGCAGAGGGAGGCCGTCCCTGTTTTCTATTGTTACAAGTATCACTTGTAATAACGATGGCATAGACATGACTCGAGGCCATTCTTGAATGCGGTAAAGAATTTATTTTCTTGATTCTACAGGGATTTGTGCGCCTTAGTTGACTGTGTATTAGTCTTACCAAAACTTTTCTCCATTTAGTTGTTTAACGAGAATATATTTATATTATAAAATAATATAAATTATATTTTAAAATTTTATTTAAAAATTTAAGTTTTTGTGTTGAGATGATTTTTTCATATGGTATCAAAACCTTAATGATTAAGCAGTTACAAGTTTGAATCTCACTATCCCTATTTATTTGATAAAAATTAAGCATATGATAAAATGAGTTTGTGCAAGTTTCAAGCTCAAAGAGCTTTCACTTGAGAGGGTGTGTTAAAAAATAATATAAATCATATCCTGGGACCTCACCTAAAAGCTTAAACTTTTGGGTTAAGATGGTTCTTTGACACCCTATTCTGATCCTCTTCTTCAATCCTCGAGCGTTTGCATAAGATCACTGGTATTTCAACAATATTGTATGCTTTTTTTCAATAAAGTAGCAGGGTGGTTGACCAAAATATTGATATTTTTTATAAATACAGGAGTATCAAAATAACTCAGTAAGATCAAAATTGAATAATAAGAAGGTTAATTATATAAATTATAAACAACAATAACAACAATAATAATAGTAATAATAATAATAATACTAAGAAGAAGAAGAAGTTAAAAAGAACTTTAAGGTATAAGATTAATTTGAAGAATAAACAATGATAAAAACAATTGCTAAGGTTAAAGGATTTACTAATGGTATTTCAAACAAATATAATATCAATTTCTTTTATTATTTAATTGTAAACCACATACAAAGAAGGTTTCAATTGGATTATAAATTATTAACATGATTATATTAGTTATCTTATTCAAATAATGCTAATACTTGTAAATGTTGTTAGGTATTCATGATTATAACTTATGTTAACAACAAATCAAGTTTTTTTCATAGCACAAGTGTTGGTTATACCATACGGTTGGACTATGAAAGTGCTGAGTATTTGTTGTATCAAGAGTTATACAACATAAATCTAGATTAACCATTTAACAAGCTAGATATTAAAAGTGAGCAAGATAACAAATACAAAACATGTTAGTATCAAACATTAAAGTCCATGTTGAGTTTATATTATAATTATTCTTACACCTTTGGTATAACCTTTTTACCTTGATATAATAAACTTAACTAAAAATAATAAAAGAAAGAAACATAAATAAACAAGATAAAAACATAAATAAGATGTAAGTTATCTAAATAAATGAAAGGAAATGAGAAGTATAAACAAGAGATTAATATAATCAAAACTTAAGTATTATAAAAACATAAAGAGAGAGTAAGAACATAATCTTGATCTGAAAACAAAGATGTTTAAATACATGGCAAATGCCTCTTTTTATAGGCCAAAATTTAGAACTATTGATTTGTTGACTAATTATTGAGTGGGTGACCACATCTTGACTTGGTGACAATCCGTATCTTCTTGTCTAAACAAAACATCATTGCTAACATAAGAATTTGAACAGATTATCCCATGAAAGTTCTAGAAAATTGTCTTAGTTTTTCAATAAAACAAATTTAGTGCATTTAGACTTTTATAACTCAAGATATGGGCTGAACACTAAATAGTGTCTGGGCTACAAGACAGATTCGGACTTCTCCGTTATTTCTATAATTTGAACTTGAAACGACCTTTTTAAATCTTAGACTCCCATGAAAGTTTTAGGCCTATGTCTTAGTTTTTCATCCATATATAGCAGACCTAAATCCAAGTTCTACAGCTCCAGTTATGATCTAATGATTGAACAGTGTTCTAGTTTGGACTAAACTAGCATCTCTTTTCTAAACTTGGTTATCTCTTTGTCATTTAAATTTTAGAAGTTAAACTCATCAATCAATCCTTTTATTTATATGATAGACCTGCATTTAAGATGAATATTTACCATAAATTAAAGGTATCTTATAGTATTAGACATGATATTATAAAGCATGCTCTAGTTAAGGAGTTATTGATACTTTAAGTGCAAAATGATAATATAAAACCTTGATAAAAATACACTTTTAAGTACTAATCACACACCCCCAACCAGCTTATTACTAGTTCCCAGTAATTAAAGTATTAAAATAGAAAAAAAATTTGCAAGCTCCACAAAGTAAGGCATTCATCATTCAACATCCATTAATCTATCCAAATAAACAAACTCTCATTAAATTTATATATCTATTTCATACTATTGAAAAAAGATATTAATAAACCATCTTTTTATGTACTCAATGTATAAAAACATAGATAATGGGGCTTTTATCGGAAGAAAACAATATTATGTTCTAATGTTTTTCTAAGGTTAACTTCCTTAGGTTGAAATTATTATCCTTTTCTTTTCTTTTCTTTCTTTTTTTTAGATATATATATATATACAGATAACACGATGCATGTTTAACTCATGTAATAAGCTTTCGACTAATGACTCTCAGACTATTCAGTCTTAGGGCATTAGTTGTTGAGACACCCCTATAAACTTACTAGCGCGGGTTGTAGATACTAATATGTAGATAGCACAATGTTTGCTTTCCTTGAGCTTTTCTCCTTAACTCATGTAATAAGCTTTGGGTCAATAGCTTCTAGGTCAGTTGACTTTAATGTATTAGGTTTTCAAACACCCTTTCGGGCTTAATTACTTAGGTTAAAGAGGCTACGAAATCAAACTTATCTATATCTTTATTTATTTATTTAAAAAAAATTATTATCATTTTTTTTGTAAATTGTATACTATCCATTTTTCTTAGTTGTTACCTTTAACAAAGGAACATAAATAATATAATAATTTAATATGCGTTCCACAATCATATGTTAAAGTATGTGTGTAAAAATAAAGGCTTATGAATACTTGTTAAATAAGTATATGAGCATAATCAATTGATAATAATGCAAGAGTTTGTAAACTTGAATATTTCAAGAGAAGTATGTGATAGACCTTATTATGAATATTATGAATAACCATTAGAAAATATTGATTAAGATTATATTGACTAAGATGTATCTCAAGAGTCAATAAAATTCTCTCTTACTATGTCATCCTAGTAATAACAGTTTTGTCAAATGGTTTTATTAAAAACAAAAGCAGTTAGTTAGTTTTTTTGGTTAACTACACCCTCTTCCCCTAACCAAAATGAGACATTGTCCTCAATGTCATAAGGTAGAAAGATAGAGTATAGAAGATATCACCTGAAACAACGAGTATTAACAAGCTTGAAACACACTTAAACAAATATAAGAAACAACAAAACACAAATATTATGTTATTAATAAAATCAAAAGACGCATATTCTTACAAATTAAGGCTTAAATTATAGTTGTGATTGTGGCTCACATCTTTCCTTGGTTTTACATCCAAGAACGGCTTAAATGCCCTCTATGAGTTAGGGATAGGCTTCCTATTCAATTTTCTTAAAAACTGGCAAACACGGTTTTTTATAGTCAGATTTCCAAGATTATATTGAGCATGTTCTTTATGAAAATAAGATCATAAGTCATGAAATACATGATGCACATCTCTATTAAGTATGTTCGAAGAGCAAATAAAAGATTATCTAAGGACTTTTTATGTTTTGAAATAAATCATAACTTTTGACAATTTTCACAGGTTTTGCAAAGCACATGTATATCCTTAAATATGATGGGCCAATAAAATCCACATTGTAAGATTTCAGCAATCATCTTTATTGACAAGAAATGACTCTCACATGCCTTAGAATGATAAAGTTTAACGACACTACTTACCTCATTGTCCAGAATGCGTCTTCCAAATATTTGATCAGGATAATATTTGAATAAATAAGGGTTATCCCAATAAATGTTCTTCACTCTAGTGAACTAGCAAAAATCCTTAAGCAAGAAAATTGATATTTTTAACAAATCAAGGCATTAAACTAAAAGAAAGTAAAGATTTATCAGGAAAGTAATCATCAATTAGTGTAATGTCGCGTGTTGAATCTATTGTCAATCTTGATAAAAGATCTATATCAACATTTTAAATCTCTTTCTTATCACTCGA